TTGCTTAAAGCTTAGGAGTTAATTATACAAATTTAAATCTAACAAGCATTAAATAATAATTTGATCAAAGCTTGTACATGGTTGTTCATAAGATGGTTTTTGGCCTAAGAATGGTTCTCTTATTGAACATTTCCTCTTTTTTAAATGAAAAACTAAAAAGTAAAAGAAGCTATTAAAGAATCACTCAAGAAATTAAGGGAGAAACAGGAATCCAAGAAGGAGGAAAATGAAGACGAAAAAAAGAAAACCAGGAAAGGAAAAGATGCTACTGATCGAAAGGACAAGAAAGCTGTTGATGTGAATAAATTAAAGAAAGATTCTGACAAGACTAAAAGAGACAGAGGAAAGGAAAAAGGCCTAGACAAAAGTATAAAATCCAAGGAGACTACGAAAAGGTCAGCCAGTGAAAAGGATGGCACTGTTCAGGTGGGAAAAGACAAAGAAACAAAAAAGATAGTTAAAAGCCAATCCAAGGAAGACAAGAAAGAAAAGAAATAAACAAGAGTTCATGTTCTGCTAATGAGGAACAGACCTCAAGAATGTAAAATTCAGTATTTATATGAATGTGGTAAATATGGCAATAAGAAAATAATGTTTTCTGGAAATAAGTGTGAACAAAGGCTATATATAATATTTTTTTAAACTATTCAGTGTGTACTGATATTGTAAACATAATGCAAAAACATCTGATGTGAAACTCAAGTGTGTACATATGTTAATATTGTAATTGTAATAATTAATAGCCTGGCTACCAATGTGTATTTAAAACATTCAAATGTCAAATTGATGCCAGTTACTTCAAGTCTGCTCTAAATATGGGTTTGGGTTTTTGTGACTTTTTTTTCTTTCCCTGTTTAGTTGTATTTGCTTGATTTGGAGATGAAAGTCTAATGTTCTATATGAAATGCAAGTTTAAAAGCAATATTAATAGGTTTATCTGGACACACATGGTGAAAATTAATAAAATATTTCTATTTCACAGAAACAACCAAGAGGAACATTTATGGACTGTAGTGTTGTAGGAACTAAACAAATAAATATAACTTACTCTTTGCCAAATTTTTTCCCTAAGAAAACTGTTTTTTTTCCTGAGAAAAATATTTTGCATGCAAATAGTCAAACCAACTTGACATTTGCACTATATCATGAAACCCCAGGGTATACGCAATCAAAATGTTTCTACATTTTTGTCTTTTGATCCCATGACGATATATTTCTTTTTTTCTTCAATTCCCTATTTACTTATTTCTCTATATTTGTGTTGGAAAGCTTGATTCATTATCACTTTTTATTTAACTGTGTCCTGATTTTTTTTTAAGTTTGCCAACCTTTTGGTAAGGGAATACTGATAAAAATTAGGCCATCTATTTCATCATTGATAAGTATTGTTGTATTCCAGTTACGCTTAAGATGTGGTATGCTAGTACTACTCTATTCTGGTTGAACTTGTTTAGAGAACAGCTTATATATTTTGCAGCTATTATCTACTTCAACACTTTCAAGTGCATGATGCTTTTATAAACAAAGTCTTCTGTTAGTTTGTTCTTACAGCTTCTGTATTTTCAGCATCATGGAAGGATTTATCCAGCAATCTCATTAGAATAAATAAAGTTGCAAAACTATTTTTTGCAGAGCTAATAGAGAGATTTCAGAATATTATTGAATCTATGGTTGCTTTCAAGTTTATCTAGAAATGAATATTTTCAAATAAATTTGAAAGCAAGTATAATGTACGGAACTGCACAATATAATTACACAGAATTCAGAACAAAATTTGTAGTGGAAGTTTAAGATTGATTTTTTGAAGTGCCACAGCATTAATTTAAAGAAAACAAAATGAAGGAGTGAAATTGAGAGTGAGTATATATATGCATGTGGATGGTAATTTAAGATTGAAGTCCTGAAGGTTAATTCTGTTTGTAGTTTTGCTAAAATTTTGTGTATAACAGTTGGCAATACACTTAGCTCAGCCGTTCCATACATATGTCTTCATCATGCTTTGATCCCTAGAGTTTTTGATAATATGGCTAAAGATTATTGGATTTTTTTTTTTTTTAGAGAAAATGAAATATTCAAATAGTTGTGAAAAGTAGTTCAAATTAAAGCTGTAGAAAGCAGTACAGTATCTTAGGATTCTGGCAGTGATAATTAACAGAGATTATCTACTCTGAGGTATTTTCTAAATTCATGAAGAGGGAGGGAAGAGATGTGCATTGTGAATATTACAGTGCCTAGCAAAAAATATGAAAGAATAAATATCTAGTAAATCTATTTCCATAATGAACATTCTCTGTTAGGTTTTGGTGATGATAGGTATACCTTTTCAGCCTTGCTCTGGTAAGTGTTAAAATGCATATTTGACCAGAGGAGCATTAAAATCACACTTCTCAAGGATGGTGGCACAATGGTATAGTGCACATCACTTTTTATTTTCTCCTGTAATGTGCCAGAACTTGTAACTGTGTGGGAGTGAAAGTTCAAATGAATTGCTGTTCTGATTAACATATTATATCTATGACCCAAAGTTTATGGAGTTCTGGAAAGGTTGGGTTGTTTTATTTTTTTCCTTTCCAAAGAAATTTTTATTTGAGCAGCACTCCAGGCTATACAGACAGCCACAAAATAAAGTATTTTTGCTCCAGAGATCTGTTGTGTTGTTCTATATCTCTATTAAATATTATTGTCATTAAACTTAATGCAACAAGTTGCCACATAAGCTCAAAAAATGCACTAGACATGTAAAAGCTGAATGCAATTTTAATAAACAGAAGAGAGAAAATAATATCTTCTAAAAAGTAAATTATTTAGTATATTACATACTTGAGAAGATTGAATCGAAATCAATGTTAATCACAATAGACATGTACAAAAAGCTTGAAGGTTAAGTTTAGAAATGTGCAATGAAACAAAGACGCTCTTGTTGGTTCCTTCTTTCCTGTTAAGTAGCCATAGAGCTTGTTGGAATATCGGGGCTGTCTTTTGAAATGTTTTGAATTCATTTATTGTTCATGAAGCAGAGTGTGTGGTTGTCTGGATCTGAACATGGGCTTGGGTTATTGAGGATACGAAGACTTACTTAAAGCAGTGTATGTGTAAAGTAACTGAACTGTTTGTGAAAGGAAGGTGGCTGTTTCCATGCTTATGGATTCTGAAGTGTGAGAATGGTTAATATGACTTACTAGTTTTCTTTCCATCCTAAAATGATTGTAGAAGGAAGTAACTTCTTACTCTTGTAGCCATTAATAATCCTGCAGGAAAGTATATGTGTTATAATAATATTACATATTTGCAATAATATTTTATTATTATAAAGTAATAATATTTAATTTGAACACCAAAACATTAAATATTTAAATATTTTAATAATATTAAATATTGATGCTTAATACTAATATTTAATATTTAATAATATTTTTTCATATTCTAAGTGGGTGTTTTCTTAATGACAGAAGAAAATTGGCCAAAAATGAAGTGTAAATTTGTCATTTTTCTTTAGCTTCTTATTTTGACTCCAAAATGGTGGACTCCTAGTTACAGTACTTTTGGATACAGTCTACCTACCTAGCTTCAAATAATTTAAATTTAAATAATATAAAAAGATAAAAGATCTCTCTCTAGTCTACGAAAATTTGGTTTGAGACATACTAGTTCAATTTACATTGAGATATGTTTGACTCCAATAGATATGTGGTAATTGCTATTTTTTAAATTGTACTTACTTGAAATATAATATTTATCCACTTGAGAGTTGCTTTTATAAGACTGCTAGTACTACTGGAGTGTTCATTATAGTTTAGCCTCTACTTTCTTATATTCTATCTTTTCCATTGATTTGCATGCACACAGCTGTTGAAAAACTAGTTTGCTTTGGGCAGTGATGATTGTTGAGAAGGGAGTCATGTTAATTGACCTTGGATGTAGGATTATTAGCAAATGCCATTTGGAAGGGACTTCAGGAGATCCTTATTCCAACATCCTGTTCAAAACAGGGTCCTTTCAGAGGAATGACTAGGTTGGTCTGGCCATTTCCCAGTGTGGTCTTCCAAACCTCCGAGGATAGGAATGCACAGCCTCTCTGTGCAGTCTTTTCCACTGATTTCACTGCACTCATAGTGGGGGGGGGGGATATGGGTTTGTGGTGATTTTCTTATGCTCTTGTATAAGTCTTGCTTGAACCCTCCTAAAGGATAGTTGAGAGGAGAATTAGTATAATACTAACACATTCTTGATCATATGGTGTCTTAAGATGTGACATGATCTATCACAGCTGTATCTCCTGCCAGGATGGTGGTGTTGATCATTACATTTATTGATTGCTTTCATTTTGTTGTGTTTTGATCTAGAAAGAGACTGTTGTATAGTCATGATCTTAGTGGCAAAATTCCATCAGTCACACTTTTTCTATAGTCATTTGTCAAAACAAACTAATCCTAATCAGGTCTTGTAAGATGTAACACATGAATTTAAAGTACTTATTCTGTGCAGCTTTTTGTAAAATTCAAATTAGTTCTTCATAGAACCTATAAAATTGATTATATGAAGCACTTTTTGCCTAATTGAAAACAGAGAAAAATTTGCTGCCTAATTTTTTACCGAATAGATGTTGAGAATAGCATGGTCATTTGTTCAATTACTTTGAAATAAAAGCAAGTGCTTAAATTTCTGTCCCTTTTTACCTCCTCGTTGTATGTTTGTCTTTTAAACATCTTTGTTTACTATCTGAATATGCTTTAATCTTTTTATAGATCACTGTATATTATGACAGCCCTGTAATTGGTTGTTTGAATGCATTTTTGGAGAGTGTAACATCATTTAATTTAATTGAAAGAACTTTCTTATTTTATAACTGAATCAGTTAAAAAAAGGCATAAAGTTAACTTTATAACTGAAAAATGCAGGCCTTAAAGAAAGATCTGTCCCAGCACAGCCAACATCACCAGAATCTGAGGAGACTGTCCAGCCTGCTGAAAAGTCATATGTCGAACCAGGTAAGACCTTTTGTGAGTCAGAGGCGAAACAAAATGCATGATGTTTCATTTGAAGTATAATTCTGTGTCATTAACATGCAGACTCTTTTTTAGTTTTTGTGTTGCTTATCTACTGAAGTTTATTTAACAGGAATCATTATTTATAACTTCGTATAAATCACTGACCATGAAAGTTGTAAAACCTCATGGTTGCCACTGTAGGTTATTCTGATGTGATAACTTCTGATGATGTATAGTTGTGGTTTAGATTGATTTCCATCTGTATATCCAACCAGAATAACAGCAGATTCTTCACCTTAAAAAAGAAACAAAACCCTCTCACAACCAACTTAGTAAGGTAATAAAGTACTCACTTTTCTGCTAAAACTACTAGTATATAATAAATACAATAAACTGAGCTCCTGCTGTTAAAAAATAATCTAAATATTTTTAAAGCCCTATATTATTAATAGAATGTATTAAAATTAAGAGGGATTCAAGAAAAAATGTTTTACACGTTGCATTTCACATATGTGATTTGCATTAGTGTTACTCAGAGAATACATGTTCTTGTTTATTGAAGAGGCTTATCCTGTGTGATGTTTATGTGAATCTAATACATACATATATACAAATACAGAGCATATGGCTAGTAGAATCTATGGAATATAGATTTTGTTTCAAAATATTTGCATTACTTTTTTTAGGATATGAATTATAAAACGTATCATATTTCTTGGTTGGGTGGCTTTCTTTTGTGTGTATGTGGTGTTTGTTTTTGTGGGACTGTTTTTCATAACTGGTGCCATTTTGAAAATGCAGCTGTTTACCTGGTTTAGAGCTTTTTTTGTCAGATGTGTCATTGTAGGGTTTCTCAATGTTAATTTCAGGACATTTATATGAAGACAACACTTCATACAAATTCCTATTATGTCCTGGGCTGGTGTGTTGGATGGCAATCACTTGTCCATGAAACCAGTTTGTGATTTCTACTGGCAGTTTGTAGCAGAACAAGACCTTGATATTGTAATGTATCTATTTTCCCTGTTTATGAAGTTGACAGGACCCTACTTCTTCAACTCACATTTTGTTGTCAGATATGACTTGCTAGTGCTGCTGCCTGAATTGTAGGAAGATAATGAATGAAAGTGTTAGTAAATCAATTCCTTAGAAGAGAGTTTTTGGTTTGAATAATTACCTGACATTGTTACTACCCCTGGAAAAATATATGTGCAAAAAATGCAATGTAGATAAATTCTTCCAATTCATCTTCAGATGGATGAATCTGATGTGATTGATGCATACTTTCTATACTGGAGAATAAGCAAGACAAAATTGTTTTTCTAACTGTATGAGTTGCAGAGGTTCACCAGGTCAGTCTCTAGGGAACTTTGTGAAAGGGATTGAGAACATTATGGAGTCTACTACAAGCTGCAAGCCTTGAGTTAATGTTTAGATTTTCTTTTTGTGCTTACCTTCACTGCAATTTATAATCCTTGTAGATCACAAGACTGCTGACATAGAATTGGAAGAGGAAATTCAGTCTGTTCTTCATGAAGCTCTCCATTCCCAGCCTGGTAATGCATTTACACTTAGAAATCACTGAAGAGTTTATAAACACTGCCATAGGCTAGATGGATCTCAGAGTCCGCTTTTGGTATGCACTTAAGGTACTTTTGCCTGCATAAAACATTCAAATCAACTTGTTTGGCATTTTCAAAAAATTCAGAAAGTTCTGCCACCAAATCTCAAAACTGTGTCTTCTTCCCCAGACTTGTTTGGCACTGATATCTCAAATCAGTCATTTTAACAGAAGCTTCCTCAAAATGCTGTGTAGAGGGCAAAAGTGGACAGAGCCTCTACTGTGAGCAAAGAAGGTCCCAGCAAGTTGGGTTTATAATGCTGGACTGTGCAGATAAGATTTCTGTCACTCCCCATTCCCTTTGGAGACTAGCTGGAAAACACGAAGGGTGTACCGAAGACTGAATATTTGCTGGTAATAGAATATACCAAAGAAAATTTATTTACTAACAGTCTGCATTGTTGATTAGGAGAGAGACATGAAGATGTAGATGAAAGTGTAAGTGACCAGTGGCAAGTAGAGGAAGAAACACATGGAGAAACTTTTGAAGCTCCTGCAACAGATGACATGCTCAGAGAATTTGAGCCTGAAATTCCAGAAGCATATGAGACACCAGACTCAGTTCAGAAAGGTATCTGAATGACTAAATAAATTTAAAATAAATTTACAGAAGAAAACTCAATCCAGAAAAATGAATATATGTCTCATTAAAACTTGTAATTTCTGATTAAAACAGAGCCTTAGCAAGTGCCAACCACAGCATTTTTTAACAAATGCATATATTTTGAGTCAAAATGGGATATTTTAATGCTATGTGTTTTGGAACCCAGGTAACCAAATATTATTAATTGCTACTTTCTGGGCTTTCAGCAGTATTAATCTGTGCTCCAGATATGCATATCCCCAACACTGGCATGAATATAATCATATGGAATTGTTTTGGTTGAAAGGGGCTTTAAAGATCACCTAGTTCTAACCCTGCTACCACAAAGGACACTTTTCACTAGACTAGATTATTCCAAGCCCCATCTAGCCTGGCCTTGAACTTTTCCAGGAATGAGGCATTCACAGCTTTTCTGGACAACTGTTCTCCGAAGCACTGTTCCAGTGCTTCATCACCCTCACAGTGAAGAATTTTTTACTTTATATCCAATCTAAACCTGCCTCCTTTCAGTTTAAAGCCAGAACCCCTTTCCTATCAATACATGCCCTTGTAAAAAGTCCCTCTTAAGCTTTATTGTCCCCTTAAGATACTGAAAGGCTGCAATTAGGTCACCCCAGAGTGTTTTCCCTCCAGGCTGAACCCCAGTTCTCAGCCTTTTCTCACACCGTTGGAGAGGCATTCCATGTCGTCTTTCATGTAGCAGCACCCCGCAGTGCTTCTTGGTGTGGCTGCTCTCAATCTTTTAATTCCCCATCAGTAAAGCCTGTATGGATTCTGCTTCTGGGCCTTTTGGTTTATTGAACTAAATATGAAAGTTTATTAACACAGCCTTTTCTATACTTTATTCTCATTCTTCTTTCATTCAAATATGGCTCCCTAAGAGCATTAATTATATTTAAGTCCTGCAGAGATGAAGACATCATATAACGAAGATGCTCATATCTTGTCACCTTGGGGCATTGACTGGATGATGAAAATTGAAGTCAAAATATTAAAGCAGAATCATATGATCTAAATCCAACTAGGGGGAAATTTTTTTGAATACTTTTTATTTGTACTGCTGAAAATTTTACCTATCTTTTAATATCTCTTAATACCTTTTGATAAAACCCAAATAATCAATGTCATCTAAATGTTTTGCTGCTGGAAGTGCACTGAGATTCTGTCTTCACAACCAAAGTAACTCTTCAGTCTGTGTCTATTAAACCTCCTTGTTTCTGTATCTCTCTTACTCATTCACAGCACTACTAATCTTCAAAGTGGAAGACTGGAGGAGAAATTCAAATTCCATTTACTTTAAATCTTTGCAATTAAGAAGTCAAAGTGAACATATTCTTCTTTCCTCCAATTTATTCAGAAATTTTTGTGGAGAGTCCTCTTTCTTAAAGGAAATATGTATAGAGTTTATTAATATATACATATTCTCAATATTGTCTATTAATAAAATAGTAACTTTTTTTTCAGTCTATATATACATATCCTGCTGCCATTAGAATAAATTTGCTTAGAATTTCAGCTTAGAAATATTATTGTTCTTACATATTATCTGTTAGTGGATTTCTGTTACTGTTTGTTGATTTAAAAATGTTAAAATTGTGCAAATGTATTTATTTTTCAGATGCTGATCCTATGGTGGATGATGTTGGAGCAGTGGAGTCTGAATCATATGAAATTCCAGGTATCTTTTTGTTTTTCCCTGCTCAGTAATAATGGTTTTCTGCCTCAATATAACAAATTATATGAGAAAGAAAAATAGAAAAGGTTAGAATTTGCTTTTTTTTTTCTCTCAATAACTAGGTGTTATTTTCTTGGAGAATTTTACTTAGGGATGACTGCATCATACTTGCTATTGAAAATCTTTATTACAAATAACAGGTGACAGGTATGGAAACTTAGCTTTCATTGGTGCAAAAACTTTTTACTTACTATGTGTTTCTGGCTGTTGTGTTACTGGGGTCTGGGTAGGCAAGTGAGCTGTGGTTGTGCAGTCTAAAAAAAGAGAGAATGAGATTTATTACTTATATTGTCTTCATAAGGTTCTAAGGGCTATTTTTCTTGTCATTAGGAACATCCAGTTTTTTGTACATTTCCTTCAGCACTGTTTGTTCTTTGTGGCTGGCTCTGCTATCAGAGAGTGAGCCAACACCAAGGACATAATTCTGAACTGTCCTTGTTCTGTCTTTCTGCACATCTTAATCTTGAAAGCTTTTTGAAATTTGGCTTGGGCTAATCTGATTACCTTACAGTCATCTTCATGTTATGCTTGATACCATGTACAATGGCATTAGCTCATCTTTCCCATTATGAAGAAGCATTAAATGGACATTGCAATTTCTCTACTGTATGATAAGTATTTTCTTCAGGATTCTAATGTTTCTTTACAGTGTGGACAGTCTCTTGCATTTACATTAGTAATTGATTTCTGTTTATACTAGGCTTCTTATATTTGATTCAGTGTTAGCTCTAGACGTTGCATTGTGTTTGGTGTCACAGATGTGACAGAAAAATAGTTTTATTTGTTTGATGTATCTAAAACTGTTTATTCCAAACTGTGTGAGGGATAACTGGTTTAGAATCCAAGCTATTATACTGCCAAATTCAAAGGATAAGCTACTCTACCTTCACTACTGTGTTTTCTCACATGTCTAGCAAGTATATTAAGAATATTGAAAATAATTGTAGTTATAGAGGAAAATAACCCTCAGATTTAGCTGGGTAATGAAAGGAAGTAAATTGCTCTAAATCTGAGATACCAGAAATAAAGTATGTATTTTGCAAGGTCAGTTTCTGGTTCATATCTTGTCTTCTATAGATCCCTCATCAAGTGAGCCTCCTCCACATTAGTAAAGAAGATACTTTGCAATTTTGAAGATAGAGGATGTTTGCATTTTTTATTCATATAAATATTAAAAAATACTGATGGAGACCTATGGCTCTCATTGCCCTAGTTTTCCTACAGACAGTATAGCAGAAGGCTGGAAGAGAGCGTGGCTCAACACCTTACATTAGATTGCCATATGTCAAGTTGCAACTGTCAGTATATAAAGTTTTAGTTTTTCAGTTTTCAGCTAAGGAGCAACATTTAGCCATTGACAGACTCATTATGGATACAAGTGAAAACAATGAAATATTAAACATATTTCATATTTTAAATTTCAAGATATTTATTTGTTCGTATTTCATTTACAGCCTTAGATGATTATGTTGCAGATTTGGAAGAGAGAGTAAGTGATCCAGACACTCCAGGTTTGTAAATTTTCATTACTTCAAATGATAATGTGCTACAAAGTCATATTGACTGTTTGTTCACAGTTTTATTTTCAAATGTTTTTAGATAGTTTTAAGTAGGCCCAATTTTTATGCCACTATATTATCGTTATGTTTGTGAGCATAACACTCCATGAATCCAATCTACAAATACTTACATAAGTATTTTGTTCTGTCAGGAGTTTTCTAGTCTAGTCAATGGATTGATTATCCAACACCTATTTATATTCCTAACTTTAAGCCTAAACACAAATATGCATGAACTTGTTGTACTCTGTGTTTTATGGTGTAGCTCATGGCTGTATTTTATAATTCAGCTCTCACTTTCAAATAAAATATTGTAGTATTAAGTCAGTATGATTGTTTCTTTCATTTTTGAGCAAAATATGTGACCTTTTTAAGCTCTCTTGTGTTATTTAGCTGTTGCATGAAAATTCAATTGGAATATAAAATATTGAATATTTCTATTTAAGGTGACTCTGAGATAATGCCAGAAGACGCTATGGAACATTATAAAGGTACAGTCCAATGTCTTCTTTCTTTTTATTGAAAATTCACTGAATTTTGGCCCCAAACCAAGACAATCACACAACACAAAAAAAACCCAAAACAAAACCAAACAAAAAAACCCCAAACAAACAAAACAAACCACAACAACACACAAGACTTTGGAACTCCTAGGTAATATTTTTTCAGAATGTAAACTGAAAATGTAGACATAATAACTTCCTAAGGAAATTATGCTAAAACCTGCATGAGTACTACTTCTCTGTAATGTCAGCCAAATGGGCAGAATAATATTTTGAGGGTTGAATTTCCAAGAGAATGGATATTGGTATTTTAAATTGTATAGAAATGTTTCTGTGGATAAAAAATAATTTAAATATGCCAGAGATGTTGCTATTAGTGTGATGTCAAGAAGAAAGTAGTATCTCTTAAGTTTTTTTAAAAGCAAGTAAGCCATAACAAGTAGATGCCAAAATTACTCTGTAGAAGTTAGCTGTATATATAAATGATTTATAAATAATTCAGAATCAAAATATTTATGAATATTTATGAACTGTATAAGAAAGTCTGCTGATACTGCTTTATTTTTTAAGTCTATCTTTTGATGCCAGAAAATCAATCAGTTCTTCTCACAGGATATTTTAGAAATTTTCACCTTTGCACTCTTATAAACTTTATTACAATATGAACTACTATAGTTTGAAATATTTTTTTTAATCTGAATAAACTTGACAGTGTATTGTATGATTTGTATATCTTTATTGTCTTAAAATTCTATGAATTTTCCTGCTCATTTTTCTTTTTCTTTAAACAGAGGATAGAGTGCATGAAGATTATAGTGAAGACCAAGGTAGGACAGCTGCTATATTTAGTGAAATTGCAGTATCAAAATATTTCATTAATATGCAAGTGGAATTACTTTGCTTAAAGATTTCCTATGCTGCCACGTTACTTTGTAAGTTCTCAGCTAAGGTTTTGGGTTGTCTTTTCAAACTCCCTGTGTTTGTAATCAGTCAATCTCATTCTTTTAACACTGGTCCAAGTGTAGAGTGTGCATAGTCATTATATTCCCATACTGGTCCTAATGCCATAGTTTGTGCATATGTGGAAAAATAACATTGAAGGCTTTGCCGTGCCTTTTACGTTGTGAAATCCTGGCCAGGTCAGATGTGGTTTATTGCATCCTTTTAGCTCAGTATCACCTTCTTGTCATGTCTGACACTATCAGTTCTTTGGGAACTACTGTTTTAGTTTGATTTGGTTGATGATTTGCTAATGATTGCTGTGACCAGATCAAAAAGTAAACAAGAATATTAGTCACAACCTTGAAACAAAGGTGTGTAGTTGTGATTCCTGCTGTGATATCCTTCTGGAGACTACCATGCTTCAGAATAGTTAAACATATCTTTAAGGCATTCTTGTTTATTTCCCATGTTTATGTAACCTGAGCAAAGGACAGGGTTTCTTCAAAATATTTGCAACAGAATACCTTGAGGTTCATTCTTTGTTATCAGGAGGTAAATTCCAACATCCTTCTTTGGGATAGAAGTCAAAATTCCATTGAAATACTTTCAGTGGCCCAAAGGTGTACTTAGCCCTTAGCCTGTGCCTTTCCCAGTCTGCAGAAAATAATTATTTACCTCAGTTATGGTGCCCTTGACAAAATGTCTCAGCAGTAATAGGATAGAAAAGCAAGTGACTCTTGGTTTTTCCCAGGGCTTAATTTTTACTTGCCTTGCCAGGAGATAGTTATTTTATGATCAGTTCCTAATCAAGAATCACTTCTCTTGCTTCTCACACCTAGATTTGAAATGCAACTTCTAATCTTTACTTTTTATGCTCTTTCATATGTAATGGTAACACAAGCAGAAAGTGCTTCCATGCTCTTGTGAAGCGACATCTATATCTGCTTTTCGACTAAGTTGATCAGGGAGGTTACAAAGTAAATTGCATCACCTTTTTTTTTTTAAATCAGTTCCAAAAGCATTTAATATTCTGCCGTCTCTTCTGGTACCCCAGTACAATAACAGTGAATCACTGCATTTTGGGAGTCAGAAAATACAGTGATTCATTTACTTCAGGAAGTAGTAATGCCTTGTCTCTACTGCAATGAGAGTTTTAAGTAGTATCAGATAAATCCCCCTACACTTTCTATATTCTTGCCAGTCCTCTGATTAGGACAATAAGGAGAATAGGAACTTTCATTCTTTTTCTCAAAAGGAAATTCTAAGGTAGCATGTGACTGTCAAAAAAACCTTATTTTTCTTGGCTATTAAATTGTCAGGCTTCTTAATGTAGTAAATTATTCCTGCAATTCAACTTAATCCATAGAAAACTGCTTTCCTCTTGATAAAATTTGCCTTTTCACAACATAATTTTACCTTGCTTTCAAGTTCCACCTTGAAGGCATTCTGGTTGTGAGAGAAAGCATAATGTGTCCTTTGTACTTTTTAGAGGAATTTCATTTCAGAGCTCCAGCCTGGAGCAGTGTAGAAGAAAAAGACCAGTGGATTGAGGCTGCCTTTCTGTCACACACCATTTTTTTCCTTCTCAGTTCAGTCTGAGTTCAGTCCATGGAGTTTCAGGGTATGTTCATATTCATGTGCTGGACACCATTTTAGCAGTAGCATCTGTTTTTCATCGCTTTTGTCTCTAAGCACATCTTCCTTGTACCTTTTGGTACAAGAAAGGTTTTGGTTGGATTGAAAGTGAAAAAGATTTACTTTATTTTTGGAGAAGAGCAATTTTGGCTCCATTTTTCTGAAGTGAGAGTGCTTGGAGGCGATTGTGGAGATCTGAAATCCTTCCTCTCAGATGTGAAACTTGTGGTTTTGGCATGGGCTCCAAACCTTCAGTTGACCCCCACCAGAAGATTCACATTAAAGCCTTCATATGCAATTGTCTGTGAAATCAACAGAAGTATTGCTTTGAGTCAATTTATGTTCCCCATTTCTATCACGTTTCCCCTCTTCTGGCAAGACCTTCTGGTAAAATATTTTCTCCAATCCTGCTGTTTTCTAGAGTTCTCAAAGCTAAAGGCAGCTAAAGACTCTCTGCTGGGTAGAGAGTCCAATTTCTTTTGTGACTCTGGCTTTGTGAAGCTTGGTTCTTAATTCAGATCAGGAACTGCTCAAATAAGATCACTGTAATCACATCTGAGGTTATTGCCAAAGCTAAAAATTCTTCGGTGGAAATAAGTGGCCAGAGTGGAGTGGGTAAATGATTAATCATAGAATTTGGAATACAAGAACTCAGTTATTGTACATAACTTCCAGTTTTATGAAAAGTTTCCTACATTTTCTAGCCATGAAACTAGGAAAGAAAGCAAGTCTAATATTTTCATTAGAAAGAAAGAGTTCTGGATGTTTGTAAGGATATTCTATGTTTTTAAACACAGTTAAAACATAGTTTACATAACAATTCTATGCTATGTAAACAACCTTTTTCAAATGAGTATTAGTACCTGCTAGATGATTAAATTATCCAAACTGAATGAACTTTTTCAGTTGAAAATTCACAGTAAGCATGTATTGAAAATTCAGACAATGGATAGCATTGTGTCTATTTTAAGACATTATCTAAAATTAAATAATGAATATTCTTGATCTATTTCTTCTTCAGAATTACAAAAATTAGAGTGACTATGCAAAGATTAAGAATGTAGGAGAATTGTAACAACTGTACTGAATGATAGATTTGTGATTGTAATTTGTAATTGTTTTCAGCATTTCATCTGTGTGATAGAAAGTCTAGAAATTTCAGCAATATGTACACATCTGGTTTGAGGTTTTTAATGTAGAATTTCTACTACAAGCTCCAGAAAGGCTTCATATATCTATTCAGGCCCCCAAACCAGGGGAAGTTTTTTTAAGGCCCTTGCTTTTGTCATTAACAAAATAACTGTATATTTAACCAAATTTTTAGAATACTTAATGCATATCAAGAACCCAGGAATTTTATTTTCCTATCCTTTCAGAACCAAAACATGAAAAGCAGACTGAGACTCAAGATACAGGTATATACCTATATATATATACAAAAAATACTTTAGGCAAATTATCATTAAATAAGAAACTTAATCTTGCTGTTTATATAAATTGAAGTACACAATCTGTGTGACTTTTAGTCATGCCACTGCCAGTTATGGCAAAGGTTCATAACAGTCTGTATTGTTATGAAGTTAGATTTTTGACTGTGAACAGAGAAACTTTGTTCTAATATGCCATCCTTGAGGATTCATCTTTAAGGTCTCAGCTGACACAGAGTTGGGTGTCTGAGGCTTTTAGTGGTCAGCTGGACCACAGTAGTTCATCACAGACACTGCTTCTTGTAATGAGCCCTCCTCATAACCCTGCAACCAGTGTGTAGGATCATTCGAAATGTGCAGACTGGCAGTGCTAGCTGTGCTTTGATGCAGACCTCTTGTTGATGCATTTGTCTAATTAGTAGAAGCAATTACAAATTATTTGTCTGCAGTATTCTCTCTGGGTTTGTTGTCTTGAAATGCCAGCTCTTTTGAGAGTCATCTCAGCTGACTGAAACCCCCCTCCCCAATAATTTAGTTTAGAAGGAAGTCAAGAAGTTCTCTAGTGTAAATAAGTTGTATATATCTGTCTTACCATCTTTGTTATCATAATCTAAAGAGGACAGTCTAAGGAATTTAAAAAGTACCATATTAAGCGAAAAAAAATTATTTTTTCTGTAGAATGCATTAAGTCGTACAGTTTGTTGAGCTTCAAGAAGGAAATTAGGACTCTCAAATGAATTACATGTTTATCTAAATAAGACTTAAAGTTTATAGGTATGCAGGTTTTTTAGTTTGCTTTCACTGTGTCTAGAAGATGGAGTTAATGCTGCAAAAGAACATGGGAGTACTTGAATGTATTTAGAAAGATTAAGAAGTTGTTTTAAAATTTCAGTTTTTGTATCATAATCCAAACAACAAGTGTTGAAAATGTACAATTTTGAAATAACTAGCTGATGAATAGAAGAGCTATTTAATGAAACAGGAAATAATATTTAAGGTGTATTTTTTTCCCTGGAATTCATCAAAGTGTCTGCTTGTTAATATCAGGTTAGCATGTCTACATGCTACCTGTGTTCTTTTGTGTACTGTGTAAGTTCCATCGCTTGAGGGCTTGACTTCATTATTGCTTTGAATTGAATGTTTTCTTAGCTGTTGAGGACCTTCCAAAGAGGGTGAATGAAGCCACAGGGCCAGGTATATATTTTATAATTGTGAACTTAGTGTTTTGATTATATATACATATATATATATGTGCTTGAAAAAAAAAGGTTTAAAAAAGAAGTCAAGCTGATTACACACTTTATTCCTTTTTGTACTTATAGAAGAAATTAATGAAGATTTTGATATTGCTAAAGACCTTTCAGGTATGAAATTTTATAGCTTGTAAAACTTTTTTTTCCCATTTATATTTATTAATACAATAATAAAAAAAAAAACCGAACAAAACAAAAACACAGAACAGAATAGAATTGTGAAACAGTTTTAATTAAAAGAGGTATTTAAAGATCATCTACTTCAATCTCCCTGCCATATCTAGGGACATCTTATTCTTAGTCTACTTGCTCAAAGCTCTGTCCAACCTGACTTTAAACTCTTCCAGGGATGGAGCATCCACTACTGCGCTAGTCATCCTGTTCCAGTGTTTCACCACACTCATCATAAAACATCTCCTTATGTCCAATCTCTATCCTCTTTTGCACTTCAAAATCTGTTGTCTTGTTGCTACAGGTGTGAGTTAAAAATCTCTCTCCGTCTCTTTTACAAGATCCCTTATTGAAAGGCTGTGGTAAGGCCTCACTGGAGTCTTCTTTTGTCCAGGCTGAACAGTCCCAGCCTGTCAGCCTGCCTTCCTAGGAGAGGTGCTCTGGCCCTCTGATCATCTTCAAGGGCCTCATCTGAATCTGTTCTAAGAGCCCCATGTCTGTACTAAAAACTCGGGAGCAGGATGTAGCACTCCATGTGGGGGCCTGATGAGAGAGTTCTCTTTAGATGTATCCTTGGATGCAGTTGGCCTTCTAGGCTGTGAGTGCATTTTTGGCTCACATCCAGTGTTTTATCCATCAGCATATCCAAGTCATTCTCCACAGGGATGCTGCCAATCTCTTCTTCCCCCAACGTTTATTGATACTGGAGGTTGCCCTGACCCTGGTGCAGAACTATGTACCTGGACTTGTTGAACTTCATGACTTTCTTATAAAGTGCTTATTCCATTGCTCAAACTGGAGCTCTGTGGTAATTTCCCACATTGCTACTCAGAAAGGTTATGTTGTAAATTTTTGTTTGCTGTGTTGTTCTTGAAACATTTTAAATGAGTACTGTGTTAAATCTAATTTAAAAATCTGCTCTAAGAAGTTAAAAATTTTGTTAAAGAAGTTTTTCTCAAATATGATTTTGATTGAGTCAGCTAGAGCAAAACGATCTAAGCAGATTAGCCTGAGCACTGTGTGTAGGATTTGATGCTATATTTATTTAGGTTTTCTATTTTAAAAATGCATTATTGTATGATTAAAAGGTATAACATATATTGTTTCACTCAAACAACAATTGTAACTAAAATCCTTCAGGTGTGTGCAGTAGAAGTCCTGCTTCTAGTAGGCAAATGTTTGGATGTGAAATGTATTTAGTACCATTTTTCCTACTCTTCAGTTAACTGAACTTGTTAGTTTGTAATTTAAGTCTTCGTTTTTGTTTAAAACTAATTCAATTGTGTGGCTGCTGGGAAATAAAAACAAAATAATTAATGTAATGTTAATAACTTTCAACATTTCTTTTCTACCTAGGAATAGAAAGTAAGCCAACAGAAGATGATGTGGTCATTGAACCAGAGGAATCAGGTTTGTATATTTTGTTTTCCATGCATTTGTTACTTTAAAAAATTTATAATTGGGAATGATAAATACTATGGAATAGGATCCTATGCTGCAATAAAAATAGATTCATAACTTTTTCTGCAGCTGTTTTCTTTCAAGGACAAACATATCTGTGTTTTTGGAATCTAGCATCTTGGGCTTTTAAATGACATATTTAATGGCTTAGGAAGCACTCTTCAGTTGTAGAAGTCAAGAGTGCTTTTTTACAGAAAAAACTTGTATTGCTAAAAATGACAGTGTTTGGTTATATGATTGAATTGAAAATTTCTTTTCCATGGTCTTGTTTTCCACCAGCCAGTCAGGAGTGCATACTCAGCAAAGAGGGTATATGTAAGGAGTGAAGTGTAATGTCCCCTTAGCTTTGCACTCTTTATTTATGGGCTTCCCAAATCAGAGAATGTATTTCCCCTCTTCAATTCTTCCTATTATTTACAACCAGCATCCTGCCTATTGTGAAGCTTTTTCTGGGGAGCCTGATTCCTTGCAAACTCTTTCCAAACTTCAGTCTATTAGCAGTGGTAGCACTAGGTGATGTGTGACATGTCTAATTTAAACATACGTATAGAAATAAAAGTAACTGAATTTTGAAGTCAAGTATTTCACAGTTACAGCTAGAGACACGGTAGGTATATATGTATGTTTTCTAAACCCATACTGTAGTAGCATGTGAAACTGGGATATGTGAGCTTTGGATAGTACAGTTTCAGAAATTTCAAGTATCATCTTTGAAACTGTGGAGCCCTACAGTAGGCTCATTGGCCGACTTAAGTCCCTTGGAAAAATTTAGCCAAGGAAGAAGTTTGCATCCTACTTATGCAAAAGTAATATTACAGAACAGTCTTACTAGGTCACTGTGGAAAAAAAAGGGGGGCCTTTTGTAAATATTTGAGAAGCGGTTGAGTTTGAATTTTATCTACATTTTTTATTTACAGAAAAACCTGTTAAACCTGAAGATTATTCAGATGATGTTCAAGTGGGTAAGTCAATCTTGGATGCTTGGTTTTTTTCCTAAAAAAGTGAAGCTATAGCTACATGGAAATGAATAATCAAATTACTTTGTGAAGGATATCATTATTGTTAAAGTTGCAATAATTTTTCTGTTATATTTGATAAATGCCAATGATAGTTATTGGGTTATATGAAAGCATTCCAAATAAATGAAGTAGTTTTAATTTAGAATTTATTTTTAATGATTTCAGATAGAGCTGAATACTTTTAAAAGGGGAGTACAATTTCAGGTCTCGATATGTAGGTACTTCCTCTCCAGAGAAATTGTCATGGACAATGATAGTGTTACTTCTCTGTATGTCAGTTGTATCTGTTGGAATCTGACTGTGGCACATTCTTTGGACACGGATCTGGAAACAGAGACTGTTTTGTCATGCCATCACATTTTTCTTCGCATGACTGATTTTGAGAACAAGAGCACTTCCAGTTCTTCCATCTGTTGCCTGACAGTAGTAGACATGGATTTTACCAAAACCATTTTTAGCCTAGATAAGTGGCTTCCAAATTCAAGAACTGCATATTGTTACATTTCTTGGAGTTAACTGTTGCAATTTGCTATTTTGCTTGTTGTACCAAACTAGTTGTGTTGAGTGGAACACAGAGTTGTATCTCAGTGCAGTACATCAGAGAAGCTGCAATCCAAGACCTCTAATAACTGTATTTTTCTTTTGAGCTGGTTAGCCTGATCCCCTTTCTGGGTTAGTTAATCTCTGTACTATGCAGGAGCTCTTACAAGATGTGGTGCCCAGAGAGTTCTGCATTGTTATTTTTTTGCCTTACAGTATTTGTATTTGGTTCTTAGCCATGCCAAAAGTATCCAGAGGAGTAAAGAAACATAGGAGGCCTTTTGTGGTTGTCCAGTACAGATTGGAGGAGTGGTTTAATTCATGTTTGAGTTTGTATGCTGAACCTTAGCTGAGGTGGTTTGAAATGTTCATATTGGTGCATAATTGTGTTGTCTGCAAGGTCTTTCCAAGTTGTTTATCACAACAGCTGTGTGATGTGTTGGAAAGTTTGAAGCCATAGCTATTATTTAATAAATGCATTAATTGAAGGTGTTTTGTTTCATAATGAATATGATGTATTTTTTACCAAAGCTTATAATCAGTGTAGAAACAAATAGTAGATATCTTTGATAGTGTGGGCAAGAAGTTCAGCAAAGAACTCAGTTTGTTACGCATTAGGTTGGAACTGGGGAAGAAGAAAAGATGTTTTCTCTCAGAAAAGTTTGCTGTTTAAAGTTAAAATAACAAAAAGTCCCTTACTGCCGCGCTCCCGCCCCAAATCCCTTTTCTCTCAGCCCCGGCTAGCTCTTGTGGGGCGAGGGCGGGCGATGGAGGCACCCTCCGCCGCTCCCAGCTGGGGTTTGGAGAGTGCCTTTGTGGGTTCTGGGCAGCGCTGGCAAGCCTCGCGGTGGTAAATGAAGAGCGGATCCTGCTGGGGGCTAAGTCCGAGTTTATTGTAGCCCAACAGGGCCAAATATCCTAGAACGGTGCCAGCCAACAGGAACAAGCACAAGGTGCTTGCACTGGCTTATAAACTGTAAGGGAGGGGTATCCAACGAGCAATGGGGATAGGGATAGGGGTTGGCTCCGGGATGGGGGGATATGGTGGGGTCCAATGGGGGAAGGATATGGGGGGAGCCCCAGGTCCTCGCCAATCACCCGGTGCCCTGAGTAGAAGCTTCTGGATGGATGGGAAGGGGCACCGAGTGATAGACAAGGCACCCGGGGGGGGTAAAATGCCTCTTTCAGGGTGATGGATAGATACTGGGAAGGCGGGAAGGGAGGACAAGGCGGGAAAACTGGGGATAAACCAAGTTGCACACGGGGGTACAAAGGAATAAACCAATACATAATACAGGGATAATAAAACATACAAATAACACAACTCCACACCTTACAGAACTATTACAAAATTTCAGCAGTAGATAATTCCACTACACAATGTCAGTTGAGGATATTGAGATGATTTCTTGACTTACAGATGCTATTTAAAAATTAAATTCAGAATAGAAGTGCCAACTTGAAATTTTGGCATTTTGGGCCACATTTCTATCAGTTTTTGTGTTGTAATTTATGGTTCAGTGGTGCAGCTGTAAATTAATTTTTCTACCTTCACAAAAAAGAACTTAGGTGTTTTATATAGTAGTGATGGATTTAGATATAAACCATTTTGAATCATAGCATCATTTAGATTGGAAAAGACCCTTAAATTCAAGTCCAGCTTTAGACCTAACACTGGCAAGTCTACCACTAAGCCATTTCAGCTGTCATATCTACACATCTTTTAAATACCTTCAGGCTGGGGACTCCACCTCTTCCTTGGGCAGCACATTGGAATGTTTGACCACACTTTTGGAGAATAAATTTTTCCTCACACCGAATCTAAACCTCTCCTGGTGCAACTCAGTGCTGTTTTCTCAAATTATCTCTTGCTACTTGGCTGAAGAGACTGGCCCTCACTTGGCTACAAGCTCCTTTCAGACATTTATGGAGAGCAGTAAGGTTCTTCCTGAGCTTTCTTGGCTCCAGACTAAACAACCCCAGGTCCCTCAGCTGCTCTTTATGAGACTTGTGCTGCAGACCCAGCCTCAGCTCTGTCCTTCCCGAGACTCACTGCAGCACCTCAGTGTCCTTCTTGCAGTGAGGGGCCCAAAACTGAGCACAGGATTTGAGATACAGCCTCACCAGTGCCAAGTGGAGAGGAATGATCACTCCTCTAATTGCAGATGTACTTGCAAATAAGATGGTGGAATTGAACCTAGTTACCCACTCTTCTTTTGTTGTATCGTGATACTGAGAGACTGCCATTTTCAAACACTGCTGGAATGAGAAATAGCTTGTTCTACTTTTAAATTGTAGGTATTTCTGAATAAATCTTTTAGATTTATTCTTTTTTTACCTGTGGTTGTTTTCAAAATTAGTGCAACACACCATTTAAATCACAAAATTATTTTGGCATCTATTCTGACATAGCTTTTGTAAACACATAATTAATTCCTTCGAGCAGCACTCGAATGAATTAATTATTTTCTTCTTTCCTTCATAGGGAAAAAGTGATAGAATCAAACAAAATGTGTTTTAAAGACAGTTATTACAGTTATTAAAGACACAAGTAATTAATAGACATAGTAGAATGTTCATGATCTCTTGTTTAGGAAGTAGAAAATGAAAATAATTTGATCAGCACAAAATCTGAGCACTGCACTAACTTAAGAATCCTTGTAATTTGTGTAGTCATGTGGGAACCACTCTGAGGGCAGAAGAACCAGTATTTATAGTTTTTTCTAAAAATCTTACTGTTTCAGCACATAAAATTCAAGTAGCTTCTTGGGAAACTGACAAAAGAAATATAGGACATGTTTATGTCTGTAGTTTTACTGACAGTGAATAAAATTTTATTAAATTATTAGTTCTTCTGCTATTAAGTATATTTACCTGTCTTTTTTTGATGTGAATATTTCAGTTTGAAAGCAACATTGCTCTCAGATTTTTCTCTCAGAATATGACATCCATGTTTCCTGTGTTTCTTTCATATCTTTGTGATGGAGGGTTCAGTATAGGAGATTTTGTTGTCGGGAGTCTTTCTTCTTTGTTTGTGGTTTTATTTCATCAGTTGTTCAAAGCTAATATTTCCTTTTCTTTAAGCAGTAACAAACATAACATCAGGTAGTGTGAAAGAAATTCAGAAAAGTTACTATACAGTCTGTATTCTTTGGTAGTTCAAATTATACAATTGCATTTGAAGCATGATGGCACCAGTTTGTATCCGGTTTGGAGTAGTTTGGTTTTTAGCTAAAACATTGGAACTTAGTTTTTTGAAAAGAAAACAGGAGAGCTCAGAGATTGAATTTAGCTGTTAGGAGCATTCTCATATCACCGGGGAAGACACTGGGTGTGGGATTTGAATATGCTAGAGTGCAATTCAAAAGTTTTTTGCTGACTTCAGGGCACATCACAAGAAAGTTCATACTAGTCAAGTACATCCTTAGGTATCTGTAAGTCCTGTTTTCCAGTTCTCTGAGTTTACTTCTGAAATTATTGCCAGCATTCTTTTCCAGATATAGGATACTTTAGCTACTGTTATAATCTGCACTTTATAAACTAATGGTTTGATAAACTAGCTTGAAATAATACTGATTCAGATTTTCTGGCTAATCCTACCTTACACTGGCACATAAATTGCAGTGGTTGTGATAGAGTGGTACTTGTTGGACATAAATACTAGAGGGAGACATTGTGGGTTTAGGGGATACTGTTATTCTCTGAATTTGCTTGTATGTGTTTAGATTTAAAATATCGACAAGTTGCTCCACTCCTCCCCTTCACCTTGTATTCTTGACATTTTTATAACTCTACATTTATTCTACCAACTGCCGAAACCCCTTACATGTAGAGAAGTTTCCACTTTAGAACTTTGACCCTTCCTCATTCCCTGGCTCCTCTTTTCTAGTTGCCTTTGACTTTAACAAATAAAACCCAAAATCAAACCAACACTAAAAACCAAACCAAAACCAAACTAAAAATGTTTAAATGAATTTGTGGCATGGCCTAGATATACTTTACAAGGTAAATAAAGTGCCATATGGTAATAAAAAAATCACTGCCTAGAAAAATACTTACAACTTTGTTTCCCACCTTGTACAGCAACTTTGTGTATATTCATTAAGGTAGCTCTTAGAAATGGTAGCTTATTAATATTAAGTAGTCTGCTACAAAGTTGCATTTTTTAGCATTTAAGATTTTTTTGTTGTTGTTTTAGAGGAAGTTGTGTTTTGGTTGGTCCTTTAATATAGATTTCCCCTTATTTTTTCAGATACTTAAAGCTTCAAAAGAAAAGTCCCTACATCAGGAGGACCAGTCCTAACCATACGCTACAAAAGGGGAGCAGATGGTTGAAATAGACCTTATGATGTAATTACCAAGCAGTTCAGGGTTTGGGGAATGAACACTAAGATGCTGTAAAT